GACTCAACCCGTAAACTGGCGTAGGACGTAGAAAAATTTTTATCAGGTAATTTCCAGTTGAAAATTTTGAACGTATAATGCACATATATTAAAATACCATTCAGCCCTGCTTTAAAGGAATGACCTAAGAGCAAAGGGATGGCAACGATGCTAGGTGGCTTGGCTTCGTAGAGTAAGGTTTAATATTGATAGAAGATATAATTCGGCTTTAGCATCGTTGTCAACGAACTGTGGCCGCTTATGAGGACAGCTTTAAATTTATTTAAAATTGGTAGGCCTGCATGACCAAGCTGTAGCTGCCATGTGATCAGTATTACTTAGGCTTAGGACGACCGTGCACCTGTGTCAGTTTCTAGGATATGGCCAGTCAGTCTCGTCGCCAAGCCGGTTCAGCACACATCCTGAGATCACCCAGGATGTCAATGAAGCCAATGCCTTTGATACTAAAATTGTGCCGCTCAGTCCACGAAGTCACCAACTGAATTCAGATCTTCAGTACCACTTCTGCGGTCAGTTGAATTCGTTTTGTTAGGTTCGGTGCATTTCCGTACAAATTAAGGTGCATCGGCGATGAAGCTTGTGCGTTTTATGTGAAAGAAGAGAATAGTATTAAAAATATCAATGAGAAGAGCTGACTTATTTGTAATTCGTTTTCTGAGAAAGATATCCAATGATATATGGACCTCGTGTAATAGTAAGACGGTAATGGCGCCATTAATGGTTCTAGACAGTATACTGACTTTCAGAATATCACGAAATTACGACATTTCACATGTCACATTTCTTGTTACCGTATACCCCTTTTACCGCTGTTTCATATGACTGCAAGCTGCTGCTGATCTCAGACTTGGTTTGCGAGTTGTTTAATAGTACGGCCCAGCTCTACATCGTCAGTTCTTTCGTAATACTTTCAAGTTGTGATTTCGAGTTTGCTTCTTGTTCGTTTACAGCGTGCGCGTGCTGCATGCTGTGACTGAGATGTGGATAAATCTTCTGTCCTTTCGAACGGCCTATATTTCGTAAAGTTATCAGACGGCTAGAACCGGAGGTATGTTTAATAATTATCGCAGTGCTGTGACCTTTTGTTTTCGTAACAGTTTCCTAATAACTGTCAGAAGCTGAAAAGTGCAACGTCGAAGGAACTCCACGAGGATATCCAAAGAAGTTCTAGGGTCAACAATATGTCTGAAAATAGACAAGCGACCTATCCGTAAAGCAGATGGCCGTCGGCAGTGGAACGAATGTTACACTACTACAAATGCCTTAGACGCTCCATATTGGTCAGTCCGCCATGGGACATTATGCTGTGTTCATATTACGAATGGCTTTCGGAGTGTTGCGCTTCATATGAACATTCGCAGCCTCATTTTTACGAATGCGTTACAAATGGTCACTGTGTCTCTCTAGCTAACAATTAACTCACTGAATTTAAGTCGTTCTTGCGTCTTATCAAATAACGGTAGCCCCGAACCATCGAACTAAACTGTTCTTTCATTTCAGTAGCTAGACATGAAAACTACGCAAGCTATAAATGACACTCAAGTAATTCAGCTAACTAAGCTACGCTCTAGCATCGGCGTGCTGTGCGCCACACCCTCTTCCCTCTTTTAAGGAAGCCAGACTCGTGAACTTAACTGCAGTTTAAGCAGAGCTTCTTGTGAACATGGATCGAATTTTGACAAGAATCGAGTTGCTCTGGGCCTTCAACGCCTCGTAGGTTTCGTCCGAAGCCAAATTACGACACGTTTCCAAATCTTGTCCCAAGGCGCCTTTAGTTTTTTCGACTGGATAGTCATTTCTGTGTTTGTTGAAAACCAGATCTTTGAGGTTTCCGTAAATCTGGTCGCACTGTTTCTCATCACTTATTTTTGTCGTTCCTCCTCGCGAAAACCGCGCGACAACTTCTTCCCGAATTCTGTTTCCAAGATCTCTTCCAGATTTACTCTTCAGCGTGTCCGTTGGCCACATTTCACAGAGCTTTATGAAGCGTTTGTATCTGCACATCAAAACACATTTCAGTTATAAATGCGTCTTCGTAATTGAGCTTACCTCAGTGCTGCCATCAGTTCATCGACCAATATCCGTCCTTCTCTATAGGGCAATGCAAGCCAATGTAAAAAGAGCTTCAGCGGGAAAGGCGTCCGAAATTTCAGTCATCTTGCACAGCGCGCAACTAACAAGAGGAACATTTGCATTTTTTTACTCAAATGGATAAAACTATAGCATGTACAGTTCCCGGTTACCTATATCTTTCGAACTAAGAGCGATTTAAGTTGCGCGCCTCAGTTTTCGGATGTTCTATCGAACATCGTCTGACTTATTTGTTCCGCGAAGTCAGTTACTAACGCAGTGTTCAGAAAGTAAAATGCACTATGAAATTGTCTGCTCGTACCTACTTCAACAATTAAATACAAACGGCATTTCCACTGCGTCCATCTGGATTTCCGTGAACATGAGCCCCCTAGGCAAATCAACCTTCAGTGATCTGCCAGACGCTGACATCTCGCCCCCTTAAGCGTATATTTCAGGGTATAAGCTTGTCAGCGCGACTAAAATACACACTTACCTGGTACTCCTTTGCCTTGGTCAGCGTGCGCTGTTCGGAATTTGGAAACAAATTTGGATTGTGAGGAGAGATTAGTATTCATCCTAACAGTTTTAACAGCCTTTCTTTGAAGATTAATGCGGGCATCGTTGTCAAATCTTTTCCGTTAGCAATTTCCGGTTACTCTATCAAAGGCTTTAGGTACCCGCAAATCACATATGCACTATAAGCTGGATTCCAGGTTATGACAATGTCACATGGTTAAAACCATATACCCCCTGGTGCTCCTCGCGTGTTGGTGTATCCAAACAGTCGTAACTGTGATTTCCTGATCTAGTAAAGGAGCGGCTTACAAATGACGGTATCTTGGATTGCGGTGCTTCGAAGCTTGTCGGACCACAGCAGAAATCCTGTTTAGCAAGCTCATTTTTGCTGCATGTACCCTTGACAGTACTTTTGGTCAGTCAGAGTTACTCATGGCCATGGGTAAAGCTAGGCATATAGACAGCTTCACATCACTGGCTGACTTTTAACGACAACAAACGGTTTGAATAAAAATCTACAATATGTAACAGTGTATGGCTAAAAATAGATTAGTTAACAATGGCTATCGCCCATTAAGGTGGACTATTTTCCGCTATAGTGGTGAGTTGTCATCGCCGCATGACAAGTAAAGATTCGGCACTAAATAATTAACCTATGACTGGACATCTGGCGCACTGCTGCAGAATGTATAGAATTCCTTTGCAATATATCTTGCGTCAAAACGGCATCATCACTTGACAGGCGTTTCACAAATTAGCTATATTTTCAGTTTCAGCGGAGGGGGCTATGCTTCATGCTGAATATCACACTGAACACTTGGTTTTAAAGTAGGTGAAGGCGAACTGTAGCCAAAAAGCACACGTGTAAAAGAAAGGCAACTCGATCGTGCATCTCGTCCAATTTCTCGTTGTCCCTTTCTCGGTTGCTGTTGCTCACCATTCAAAGAACTGCTATTCGTTTCTGTTCTGGTTTCCTCAAAACGGCGTGCAATCACAATTGCTTATTCAACGGAATTGTCTGTTAAGACATGCTTTGCCTTTAATCGCAACGTCGCGCCCAGCCGACCACTACACCACTGCGATTTTGTGGGTAAACAAGAAAATCTGACAAGCATCAAACACAGTCATGCTAAACAGCTAATTTTGTCGAATAACAAATTAGGTATTCTGAAAAACGAATCATTCTGTCCCAAGGATATTGAAAATACACATTGCAGTATTCGATATGACCGTTTGGATCGTCGAGATAATTCCACGATGCCAATATGCATTCCACAAGAATTTTAATGACCTGTACACTACAGCGGCTTCTACATGAATCCCAATTTCATGCATCAGAGCCGAAATGTCCCCATTCGCTTCAGCCACAAGTACTTAACTATGTAAGACGGTACGTAGAAACGGACAACAGAACGATCATTAAATAAAACTGCATGTAAACTTTACCATCCTGTATGTGATCAATGTCAATAACGCTTGTTTCCTGTATTACCTCTATGCCAAATGTACTAGCCACATAATCTGTCAGGAACCTGACAAAAACGCACGCAATGCTTTAAAAAACTTTTTTTTTGTTTTGTTTCTCTGATTTAAGTTTATTCAACAATGTTCGAATTTCATAGTTTATGTCAATAATTAATACTGCGTCCTGGTATATCACTCACTGATTGGAGTAGAAGCATGATACACTGACTGCGACTACCGCACTAGTCATGGCTCGAGCCATCCCTGCTACACAACGAACCGGTGAAGTTCCAAATTGACATTTTTAGGCAAACAGAAATCGCACATACTGCTGCTGACCTCCTTCGCTAAACAAACCACAACCTGTGTACCACAATCCAGTTCTCTCAAAGGTCGGAATGGTGTGACAATATCAAGCTTGTAGTGTGCCAAAGCTGGCCAGTCACCTTGAGATACAACGTCGCTGTGTATCGCCCCCATTCTGAACAGAGGTCGCGAACCCCCTGAATATATACTTAACTGTTAACACAGTAAACTGAAAATATCACACCTTCTTCGCGAATACCATCTCCACGCCGTGAAAGCATTCGCGTACCTCTAACCCTAAAAACATTCTATAGAAATTCTATTCTACCTAACTCTTCTTGCAGTATTTCCCATGCATAATGGGAGAAATGTCGAGATGAAGCAGGCAGACAACATCGTACCTCTGACTACGATGGTGAACTCAACTGAGTTTCACTATACCGTACGTTGTTCAGGTGGGTTGACAACAGAGCGTTGCAAAAGCTCCTTCAAAATACTGCTACAATATCAACCTTTCGTTCGTATGTGCAACAAGTAAGGTTGTAATATAACTGTATCAGTGGACCTGTTATTTGTTTAGGGCGATGGGCAGCGTTAAAATTTCCAAATAACCTCAAGAAGCACCATATCGAACTGCCAAAAAAGTAACATCTTTAGTAACATAATTGTCTGTTCTTTAACGGGAAGTAAATAGCAGCTGATTAAAAAAACTACACACTAACAACTGAATATAATTAGAGACATTTTTCTACAACACGTTTCTAACAACTTCGAAAATCCTTGCAAGCATTTTTGCTCTGAAATTCATCTGTGATCACAAGCAAAGGTGGCGATAGTGAAGGTTTGAACCCTCCGTCAACTATTTTGTTAACTGTTCCCCCTGAGGAAAAGGATTTTATGCTGAAACTCACACTTGGATAGAGAAAGATGGCAATGGCAAAAAAATCTGTACCTAATCAACACTTACAATAACAATCTTTCTTAGAGGATATCGAAGCCATCTTGAAAAGGGTATCATACAAGGAATTCACCCTCCTAATGGGGAACTTCAATGCAAATGTAGAAACAGACAAAAAGGAATGGAAAGGTGTAGTCGATTAAAATGGAGACTCACAGTGAACCGCAATGATGTAAAATTACCGGATCATACGTTAATGCTGGTCCAAAATGAACATTTTTTTCGCATCTTATTTCCATAAGAACATCTGGTATGGTGATACATTAGAACGACTGCCACTCACTCATCTGATGTTAGTTTAACCTCACTTGTTTTAGATCAGTTATCGATCTTCGGATAAGGCGATGGACGGAGCAACTGACTGGTCGTTTCATTGCCTGCAAACTGTCCCTGTCAAAATGCAGGACAACTCACAACACTGACGCAATAAAGTAAGCCTGTCGAACAAAATGGGAAGCCGTGAGCATAATCCTTTCCATTCAATGGATTTACACTACGTAAAAACACAAAAACACCATCTTCTTGCTTCTAGATGGCTAGGGGGCGCTTTCGACAAGGTAAATTCCATGGTATTTGAGACCCTGCAGTGCGTGGATTCCATGACGCCTTGCAATGTTAGGTTCAATAAATATTCAGCAACCAATCAATCAATTTTCATGACCCCCTTTAGATTTGGGTCGCGCAGGATGGCGCGTCCCGTGGTGATACCATCGTTCCCAACCTCAGCCAGCATTTGAGATTCGGCAGAAGAGAAATGTAATCCAACATTCCTTCGAAATACTTGAGCCCGATTAATTTTGGCCCTCGACGAGATCTTCCGCCGATCGGCTCGGCAGTAATCGTAGTGGTAGTCGCTTGGTTTTCATTCTTAGAAGCATTCGCAACACGTACCCAAACCATCGCAGCCGTGACTTCTCGATGTGAAGAAACAGCGACAGTACATTTGGGCACTCTCAAATATCCTTATTCCACACTGTGTCCAGACGTAAGGCTAACGTTTCGTCTCAGAAAGCTCACTCCAGCAGCTTGCACCCGTGACCGCTTGTTAAATAATGGCCCACGACCCATGACAATAGGTGAGCATCGAGATGAAGATCGACTTGAATACCGAGAGCTTAGTTTTCAGACTCAGTTCTACTTTAGTCACAGATCAGGCTAATTCTCACAGAATGCCACTAGCAATTCCAATCTGCCGGCCAATCACTTCCTAAAATTTTCCATCACTAGTAAACGTGACTCTGAGAGAATTTAACTTCTCCAACGCTTCAAAGTTTATCTGAAAAGAGCAACGGACGAGAGACGACACAGCACTAGGCT